CTGGTGGTCTGTAAATGGACCCGTAGAACTGTTTGGGTTGGAAAAGACCTTTAAGATCATCAAATCCAACCATTAACCTGACTCTGCCAAGTCCACCACTAAACCGTTCCCCTGAGCACCATACCTACACAACTTTTAAACGCGTCCAGGGATGGTGATTCATCCACTTCCCTGGGTAGCCTGTTCCGCTGCATGATAACCCTTTCAGTGAAGAAATTCTTCCTAATATCCAACCTAAAACTCCCCTGATACAACTTGACGCTATTTCCTCTTCTCCTATTGCTTTTTAGTTGGGAGAAGAGGCTGGCCCCCACCTTGTTACAACCTCCTTTCAGGTAGTTGTGGAGAGTAATAATGTCTCCTTTTCTCCAGACTAAACAACCCCAGTTCCCTCAGGCACTCCTCATAACACTTGTGGTCTAGACCCTTCACCACCTTTGTTGCCCTTCTCTGGATCCATTCCATTACCTCTGTGTCTTTCTTGTGGTAAGGACCCCAAAACTGAACATAGTACTCAAGGTGTGGCCTCACCAGTGCTGAGTACAGGGGGACGATCACTTCTCTAAGCCTGCTGGCCACACTATTTCTGATACAAGCCAGGATGCTGTTGGCCTTCTTGGCCACCTGGACATACTAATGACTCATATTTAGTTTAGTTTGGTCCCTTTTTGCCGAGCAGCCTTCCAGCCACTCATCCTCAAGATTTTCTGTGTTCGCTATTAGTAAGTTAAACTCTACTAGATTGTCAGCTAGAGGTTCTGTAATGTAGTCTGACAAAATGAGTAAGACAAAATCCAATTTAGTGTTCTTTGTGCAGAGTTTCACTTTTTAGATATTAGTGCAAATTTGCACTATAAAGTTAGAGCCACTGATGACATGCAAGATTTTTGAAGTGCTTACTGAATTAGAGCTATTTACTAATGGGATTTTATTTTAAAGTGGAGTAAAACAGCTTTATGGAGTAACTTACCTTGTTTGTTTTTATGTTTTGGTTTGTTTTTTACTTCTACCATTGGATTGTCCTGCTGAGAAGATGGTTTTGAATGTTTATATTTTGCTGTAATTGCTCCAATTTTTTTAAATGTAATTAGGTAGTGATTCATGAAGACTTCATTCAGTCCTGTTTTGATCGTCTGAAAGCCTCCTATGATACATTATGTGTTTTGGATGGAGATAAAGACAGTATCAATTGTGCAAGGCAAGAAGCAATACGTATGGTGAGAGTATTGACTGTTTTAAGAGAGTATATAAATGAATGTGACAGTGATTACCATGAAGAGAGGACTATTCTGCCTATGTCAAGGTACGTGTGAAAATGGATTGCTACGATTCTGATTTATCTTAACTAAAATATTGCTAATGTCTTTGATTTTTACACTATAAAGGGTTTCTCTTCAGGGAATGTACTTACAAAGTTTCAAATTTATGTTTTCTTTGCTAATGCATGAAATTCGTCTGTCGTTAAAAAAAAAAGGTCGAAAAAGGATGCAAATACAGGTGTATATGTGAAAGGGACAGCAGGCCTGAGAAGAAATTTGTTTCTGATGCTTTGCTTTATAACTAGCACAATGTACCTTGTAACTCGATGGTTTGGGATGTAAAGCTTAAATTTAGAATTATTTCTTCAGTGAAATATTCTGTATAAATTCCACATAAAAAGGGGTGGAAGAGAACAGCACTTTGAACTATATTTACCTATGTATACCTTCACTATTTAGTGAAAACTTAGCTTGAATCCTAGCTACTCCTTCTTTAACTCTGTCTTTGGTACAAAGAAAAAGGAAATGCTTAAATCCAGTGTCGTGTAGTTCTGTTCAGAATCAAAATACTGTATTTCCTGAGAGAGGAAGGCAGAACAGAAAACTTTAAATGTTCAAGTGCTAGTGGCTGCCATCTGTGGGAAGAAAGTCTCAAAAATACGTAAGGAATACAGTGAGATTTCTATGGCTTTTTGGTGCAGCTAACATATTTTTAGATGTGGTGGGGGTTTGTTGTCCCCTTATTTTAAATGTCTTTTTGTCAAGAAAGCCTAAGAGATTGCTGTTTCTTCATGTGTTAGTAATTTGCAGCACTCCTCAGCACTTTTATTTTACATATTGATTGATTAGTCTTAAATAAGTTCTTTTGTTGGCTGTGGGTGCATCTTTTTTTATACAGGCTGCTTATTTGGTTAGGCTAACTTTTTCACAGGTCTTGTTAGCAAGGAGCTTTTATAAGGAATTTTTGCCACCTTTTGTTGCATGGGATTAGCTTGTTTGGCTTATCTGGGCACATCTTTCTTAATGAGTTTCCTGCCATTGTGTGAAGTGTGATCACTGCTAATGTTGAAAATGTTTCTTTTTTTGACCTCTTCACATTCTTTAAAAGCATTCTGGTTCTTACAATTGGAATTCCAACATAAAACTTTTAACAGCTTTTGACAGAAGACATTAAGACTTGGTGACCTGATGGCTTTTTCTGATCTTGGTGTATTTAAAATGGAGTTTTGCTAAAAGATCATAACAGTTACCAGTCCAGTTGAGCTTTGTTTGCACATTTTTATTGGGAGATTACAAGCCAGAGAAAAGACTTAAGGCTTCCTAAGAGACTTTTTAAAATTCTATCAATGTTCCTGACCTGACTGCAAAGTTGACCATATGTTTAAAACACTTGTGGAGAGTGTGGCTTCTTGAAAGTTTCTATGTATGTTATATTTGTATAATTGCTGGGGCTTCCACAAAATCTCATGCTGGAGTATATCACCATATGTAAAGATTTGGTATTGAAATATCTGCCACACAAAATACAGCAGGAAAAAGAATTTTATTTTGTGAGGGTAGAAATAACTTTATCTGGTGTGTTTATTTTCAGAGCTTTCCGTGGTAAACACATCACACTGGTAGTTCGTTTTCCAAACCAAGGCCGACAGGTGGAAGATTTGGATATTTGGTCTCATACAAACGACACGATTGGCCAGGTTCGGCGTTGCATTCTCAACCGTATTAAAGCCAATAGTGCGCACACAAAAGTAGAACTCTTCATTGGTGGTGAGCTGGTGGACCCTGCAGATGACAGAAAATTAATTGGGCAGTTGAATCTCAAAGATAAAACGGTGAGTGTTGGACGTTCATCATTTATGTCAATGCAGATGTCATTTGCCTTTTGGATATGCTTGAAGAATACCAGGTACGAGATCCCTTACTGTTGGGAAATAGTTCCATTCCTCCTGTGTTATGCCATTAATGTTATATCAGGTTCTTATTTAGTAAAGAATCTCTGTCTTTGCATAGTATTAAAACTATGATTGTGTTTTTCAGCTAATTACGGCAAAGCTTACACAGATAAATTCTAATATGCCCTCAAGTCCAGATAGTTCTTCTGACTCTTCAACTGGTTCCCCTGGCAACCATGGCAATCATTACAGTGATGGTCCAAACCCAGAAGTTGAAAGCTGTTTGCCTGGAGTGGTAAGCATGTTCTGAAATGAACAGTTTAAAACTATTTTTTCCCTATACTTTAACAAGTGATTTTTATGGGGAATTTTTGTTTCCTTATTTTAAGATCATGTCACTGCATCCTCGATACATCTCCTTTCTTTGGCAAGTTGCAGACTTGGGCAGTAGCCTAAATATGCCACCTCTGAGGGATGGAGCACGAGTTCTTATGAAGCTCATGCCACCAGGTAAAACTTAATTGTCTCCTGTTTTATCTTGCAGTATCCTGTATAATAATTTCTCACCTGTTAAATAAAAAGGAAGATAGGGGAATATTTTCCACTTTCTAGTAACTTATTGATACTGTAATTCATGACTGTTATCCTAGTTAGGATTGTAAATTTATTTCCCAAATAGTTGTCTGTTTGTCACGTAGAGTTGTCAGGGTTTGCATTTAGTACTGGGGTTCAGTGTAATGACACCGTAATGAATTTTTGTACTGACAGAAGTCATCACTGCAGAACACGTCATAATCTGATCTTGTCTGTCAGTTATGTTTTCGCAGCTTTTCTGGTATGCTTAAAATTTTTCAGATTTATAATTGTAAATACCACTGGCTTGTTCTGTGGTAGTTTTGTTGCATAATGTTTATAAGTTGTGTTTTGTTTTGTTTTTTTCAGATAACACTACAGTTGAGAAACTAAGAGCTATTTGTTTAGATCATGCAAAGCTTGGGGAAAGCAGCCTTAGTCCATCCCTTGATTCTCTATTCTTTGGTCCTTCTGCCTCGCAAGTGCTGTATCTAACAGAGGTTTGTGATGCTTTGGCTGTTCTTCAAGAATCTTCAATTCTCTCTTTGGCAATCCTTTCTGTAATATTATGGAAGCCCAAGGTCAAATTCTTGTTTGAAATTAACAATTGAAAAGAGTAACAGTTTACTGGAACAAACTGATATGTGGCCAGTGCTGTCAAAACATTGCTTAAGTAATATTTCAACATAGTCTTGTATCCCTCTAGATTCAGGCTAGTATGTTTCTTTTCATTAACTCTGTATTTTGTTTTACAGGTAGTTTATGCCTTGTTAATGCCTGCCAGTGCACCTCTGGGAGAAGATGCCAGTGACTTCCAATACAACTTCCTAAAAAGTGGTGGTTTGCCTCTTGTGTTGAGCATGCTGACTAGAAATAACTTCCTGCCAAATGCAGATATGGAAACTCGAAGGGGTGCCTACCTTAATGCTCTAAAAATAGCCAAATTATTACTAACAGCAATTGGATATGGCCATGTTCGAGCTGTGGCAGAAGCTTGTCAGCCAGTTGTGGAAGGCACAAGTACAATTTCACCGGTAATATAAATCTTCCTTCCTGCAAATAGCAATGTACTCTGGTTTTTCTGTTGTCTGCAGCAACATCTATCCTACTCTCCATTGACAATCCCCTTCAGTGAGTTTCATGTCAAGAACTCATCATTTCAGATATTACCTGATGATTCTAAAAAAGAGATGAGCTTACTAAACAAATCCAGTTTCTTTCTGACTGTGGAAAAGTTAGATGTGAGATCCACTTGCTCTCTATATGATTTCCAATGGTTTGCGTGATTGTCAGTACAGGTAACTTTCCATTTTCAAGTATGTCTATCCCATAAATGCAAATCCTCATTCTTTTGAGCTTTTTGAGCTCTGGAAAGATGTGGCTCTGAATTTCTTGTATCTCATATTTATGATTAGACCATGAAACAACAACTAATGTTGAGTCATGCCAGCCCTTTTTCTACACAAAAATAAGTCCTTGGCTTGCTAATTCTGTCTGTTGCTTGTAACAAACTCTTGCAGAGGACAGCTAGATATGTTGCAGTGTTCAGTGCTGATAGTTGAAAGGTGTCAACCTAAGATTTTTCAGAGCTGGAAAGGGAAAGTGTGACTCAGGTGTTCTGAACTGTGATCTCACATGTCTATAGTAGTAGATTTTCTGTGTGTTTAATAGGCCTAATTAGTTTTTCATAGGCCTAATATGAAAATAGGCCGTGTTTAATAGGCCTAATTAGTTTTTCAACATAGGCAAGTATGTTGTGGGTCAAGATTTTGTCTGCCCTCTGACAGTAGGTGTACGCCATAGAGCCAAAAAAAATTAAAATTTGCTGCTGTCCTTCATGGGCATTTTCTTCCAGGTATTCCAGCTGTTTTTTAAATTTTGTGAGGTTCTGTCTTGAATAGTTGCTTGAGGTAGCAACCTAGACTGAAGAATACATAGAGGGCCCCTCTTCACTTTCTTCCAGAATATTTACTAAGACCCATCTATGAAGCAGAGAAGTACATTTTCCTTAAGTCTGAAAAATAAGTACCTGTTCTGGTGAGCTGCATCTGTTGGAAGATATCAGATTAATTCTACTTCAAGGAAATCAAAACTGTTGTAGAGATGCAGATCTGTTTTCACATCTTTTGTTAGAACATCATATAAACATCTTAAAGCAAATGTTTGCCACCCTATCTTTCATCTTTTTAAAATAAGTAAATTTTTACTGCTCGATTTTCTTACAATGACTGTTCAAAAGGCAGTTTGGAACACATTACTTTAGTCTTGAAGTACTGTTTGAAACAGATTGATGCTGTCCAGTTAGGAGGTAGTAACATTTTTCCACGACTGCTGACATTTTCTGTTTAGTGTTTCAAACACCTAATTATTATTAACTGATTTGTTGGAAAAACCATAGTTATTCTTGCTGTCATTGTGGTCCTATTTGAACGACTTCGGTCTTGATACTTTTTTCTTGCTGCAGCACCAATAAGCTTACACCTTGGGATGGAGGTGAGATTTGTAAATACCTTTCATCTCTCTAATCTAAAGCCTAAGTACTGTAGCATAACTTTCTGTCTTGGCTTCCCAGCAGTACTTAAGAGAATGGGTTAATCAAGATTGTGTCTGCAGTCTTCCATTTACTGGTCTGCTGCTGTCACTAGGAGTTTTCAAGTAGTTTTTTCTTTTCTTGCCTTTGTAGGAAGTTGAATGTGTGACATTGTTAAGTGTAGTGTTCTGGTATGTAGATCCTGATTTGCCACCATATACATTCTGTTTGATCATTTACAGCCAGTTTCCAATAGCTACTTGAATGTGTGAGATGAGTCTTCACTAGGAGTTGTGTAATTTTGCTCCCCGAATCAAGTGTCTTAGTGAAGCTGGAAAGGCAAAGGGATATGACCAGCACCAGGTGTTAGAGAACAAATTCAGTGTGTGTTTTGAGCAGCGTTTGAGATGTTTTTTGGTTGAAGTGGTACTAGAAAATGAAGAAACTTCTGTACAGGAAGTTTTAAATTGTAACCACAGCACACAGTCTTGTCAAGTAAGCATATCTGTGAGGAGGAAACAACCATTCAGATTTGAGCTGTCAAAACTATAAATTCGTCAGCCCAAGGAGAAGGAACTCTATGCTCAAACCAATACAGAGAAGTGAAGATAAACAGCAGCAAGGCAAGTTTATGTCTTGTAAAAGTGTGATAAAGAACAGGAGGGATAATTCAGAACAGAATTTGTCAGTAGTGCTGTAGCTCAGGTGTTTAAAATATGCATAACTATAATGAACACTGCATCCATGCTCAGTCTGGACACTATTAGCTAATCCAGAGGGAAGACCTGTTGTTTTAGCAAACCCTTTCTTTCCTTCCTTAACAGAAAGGAAAGGAAGCATTGGTAATTCTGAACATTCTGTTAACTTGGAATAATACGATCAATAAAACACCCCCACAAACCTAAGCAATTTTGAGCAAGTGCCTCTCCTCTTAACTGCTTGTACTCTGGTTGTACACTGTAGCACAGTGTGTCTTCAGATGCATTGATTTCTATTTGAAAATTAGGGTGCTTATTTTTCATGGTGTTTACAGTTTATGTAAGTAGTTTTCCTTCAGAGATCTTATTTCTACCAGACTTTTTCAAGTAACTTCAGATTTTCATATCTTCTTGCCTTCTTTTTCCCATGTAAAAATAAGTGTAAGAAATACTTTCTTCCAGATAAACCAGGCTACGCATGACCAGGCAGTGGTGCTACAAAATGCCCTACAAAACATTCCTAATCCAACTTCAGAATGCATGCTAAGAAATGTAGCAATACGTCTTGCACAGCAAATATCTGATGAGGTTAGTGAATTCATTTCTGTATCACCTTTTTTCCTGTAGGTTTTTATTTACTCTGGGTTTTTTAACCCTTAAATTTATTGCTTTGTAAAACATGAATTTTCCTTCTAGAATGTCACAAAACATACCCTAAAATGTTTATATGGTTCATAAGCTGTTAACTAATTAAAAATATTTAATTAATTGCTTCCATAAGCAGTTATGAAATTCAGTGTCTAAGAGCATATAAAGGCTTAAGTGAACTGGGCAGGTTCTATACAAGCTCTTTAATGTATTGTGAATATTTTTACTCTTGGATCAGAACTTTAGAAATTTTATGTAGTGGATTTAAAGTCAGTGGGTACATTTTTGTGATACTTTCTTCTTTTTTTGGTGTTTTATGTTTTGGTTCGTCTTCCTGAAGAGAAATACAGAAAAGGAGAGGATTTCTTAAAATTTTGAGCATGACTTTTAAATGCTGAAAGATAAAAGTCTCATTTTGTTATCTGTGTATCTTCATATATTGAAAATGCACTAATGATTGAACAAGTGAAAAATTGGATTTTGGAGCTCTGTAGGGTTAAACAATGTGCTTTGCAAATACAGTAGTCTAATCTGTATGGTGTGATCAAATCCCATTTGGATTTGGAATTGCAAACCATGTTAGTGAATGCATTAGTGAATTCTGCTGAATTCAGCAGAAGCTAAAATCTGAACTACCATGACTTCTGTTTCCGTGATGAATCAGGATCCCTCAGTTTCCAGTGTGGAAGCAGGGAATGTTTGCTTTCTATACTGGATAGAATCTCTGCAAAGCTGTCTCCAAACAGTGACCAGGTTGCTCAAAGCCCCATCCAACCTGGCCTTGAACACATCCAGTGAAGGAGCATCCACAACCTCTCTGGGCAACCTGTTCCAGTGTCTCACCACTCTCACAGTAAAGAATTTTTTCCTTCTATCTAGTCTAAATCTCCCTTCTTTCATTTTGAAGCCATTACTCCTCATCCTAGCACCATAAGTCTCTTAAAAAGTCCCTCCCCAGCTTTCTTGCAGGCCCCCTTTGGGCGCTGGAGGGCTGCGATTAGGTCTTCTCAGAGCCTTCTCTTCTCCGGGCTGAACCACACCAACCCTCTCAGCCTGTCCCTGTAAGAGAGGTGCTCCAGCCCTCTGATCTTCTTCGTGGCTCTCCTCTGGACCCACTCCAGCAGGTCTGTGGTTTCTGTAGGCCAGACAGAAGGCTACATCACAGAAAGAAATCTTTCACCTTTTTAACAAATTTAGATACTTCAAAATTTTAAAACTATACTGAGATATAAAAAAAAAGTTCTTTTTCTGTGAGACACATTTTTCTTGTGATGCTGTTACTGTAAGATTGCTTTACTTGTGCCAAAGAGTGAAATACCTACTGTTAATATCTGTATCGGTAGGAGGAAAGCACATGGTTCAGGTTTCCTGGTGCGCTAGCTTATTAGTTAAGCTTCTTAGAGTCTCCTTTTTTAATTAAGTCTAAGTATTAGAAAAGTGAAATCTAAAATTTTTGAGAACTGTCTTCCAAGTGCTTTTAAAGATTACCTGTTTTTTGGACAGTTTTACTTTGAATGTAGACTCCACAGACAGAGGTTTGGGGTTTCTTTGAAAGTTGATGCAAACTATAAATAATGGCAACTGTAATATTTTTTGTAACGTATGTATATCAGTAGAAGCTAGTTGATGTTTAAATACTGATGTGTGATTCTGCATTCATAAGGATGTGATCTGTGTTAATTTTAAACCCTGTGTGACTTGAATATAGAGTTGAATCTTTATATATAAATCATGTAGTTGGTAAAAGTTTGTCTGGCTAGCTATCAGCTAGCACAATAAATATGGTAGAGGCAAACCCTGAAATATCTTTAACTTCTGACTTTCCTTGAGAGGCTGGCTGCCTTCCAGGTGCATGGTTGGTCATTTAGTGGGGTTTTTTTCCCCAGGTCAAGAACTTTTTGACATTGAAGTTCATAGTTTCTGCAAAGTCTTACTCAGAATCAAATAGTCACTGATTATTTATTTAAAATGCTCACTTGTAATTCCTGATACTTGTAGCATTGCAGTTTAAGATTCTGTAATATATATAACTTATATGCTACTAATTAAAAAATGAAGTATTATGTAAGTGAAGTACAAATGCTTTTCCATAAACATTGTTGGAGTTTTTTTTCTATTTAAGGAAAAATTCTTTGTAAATTTTAAAAAATTTCCTCTTTTAACTTTCTATAAAATTGTGATATTTTAGAATCCATTGCAACTTTATTTGCGACTGCATTTTAACGTTGCTTTGGTTTATCTTTTTTTCAGGCTTCAAAGTACATCCCTGATATCTGTGTTATTAGGGCAGTACAAAAAATTGTCTGGGCATCGGGTTGCGGGTCAGTTCAGCTGGTTTTCAGCTCAAATGAGGAAATCAGTAAAATCTATGAAAAGGTAAGAGTTTCTAAACAATTTCTTTTCTGTATTACCTATTCTTTTGTTTACAAAATGGACAGTGGCAGCTGGGTCAGGCTTTGAGTGTGATGAGCTTTTAGGTAGGTGCCTTGGTGATGATGTGTTTTGGAGTCCAGTATACGTCAGCTGTCATATCACAGTTTAATTTTCTATTCCAAATTCCTTTTCTAAGTAACTATTTAGTTGTAACTTGAATCTGTTGGCAGTTCAAAAATGCTTCAGTTCTGTAAGCTACTCTAATGTGTTTTCAGACCAGTTAGATTCTGTATTTAAATAAGGAGTAAGCATTTCTTGGAAGGCTAAGTTTTCTAGTCTTCAAACTTAAAAATGGTCTATTCTACTGAAATTTATTTAAAGCTTATGTGCAGTCTAGAAAGAGAAATAAGAACTGATCTGAAATTAGCACTGAAGCACTGGTAAAATTAAGTATTGCTGATCCTGCATGGCTTTTTCTCCTCTTATTATGTAGGTAGCTAAAGCATCTTCATGGGTTCACATGTGGTTTATATAAATAGTTCAGAGTTGCGGGTTATATCTCTTGGGTTCTATATGCTGCAGTGCAGAGCGGATACAGCCCTGAACTTGTTGAAATCATTCTGCTTTAGCTCTCATAACTTGAGAGATATCAGAACTGCCACATTTTCCTCCTGCGGTGATAGTGACGGTCTCTGATTTTTAGCTCTTGTCCAAAGGCAGAATGTTGCCAGCCTGAGACTTGCTTTGTCCTCTTCTGTGGTTCTTTGCAATTAGTTATCTTCTCTGCATTGTAATCCCTTCTTTCTGATCACTTAATCTTGATACCTTTCTATATATAAAACAAATACTTAATGCCTCTAGTTATTGTTGCTAACCTGCAGCCGTGATTACTGATAGATTAAGATTGAGACCTGCTCACATTCAGTTTCTTCAGAACTTTTTCAAGCTAATTAATTTTGGCCTTAGATAGAGGTGAGGGCTTGGAGGCAAGGGCTTGCTTTTATTCTCAAAGTATTTATTTTGGAAAACTTTACCAAAATCAACTCACTTATTCAAGTGCTTAATTGAAATAGTAACCTATGTACCAATTAGAAATTTTATCCTACCCTGTTTCAAAAGGCACCACAGCAGCTGTTTGAAATTTGATTCAGCTGTTTCATGTTTTCAAAAAATACTGAAGCGCTGAACAAATTCTAGCAGTATTAAGGAGATTTTGGTCAAATAGGTTGTGAGTAGCAAAGCTTTGTTAAGCTGGACTTTGTGATGAATTACACAGTACTATAGCCTTCCTCTGTTTAACTAGTAGCTGTTTCCAAAGCTTTAAACTCCAGGTTCTGCATAGTAAAGAAAACATCTCATTTAATAATAATAATAAAAAACCACCACCGCAACAAACAAACAAACCCTAAATACAGGCCAACCAAAAAAAACTGGCAGTACTAACTGATGTAGCATTTACAAGCTTTCTAGATAACTTCCAGATCATTAAGTTCATACACAGTACTGGATGTTCAGGTCGTCCACAAAGTACTTTTAATCACATCTGAGTGGAGTGCTTAAGATACTTGGCACTGATAATCACTTTGTATACAAATTTGTGGTTCATGTTTGTGTTCAGTGTATATTCCTTGGAGCCAGTTGGGGATCTTGGGATTTTTTTTCTGTACTCACTTTGTGCTCACTTGTTGTTTTTTTTTTTTTTTTTTTCACAGACAAATGCAGGAAATGAACCAGACATGGAAGATGAGCAAGTTTGCTGTGAAGCGTTGGAGGTGATGACCCTGTGTTTTGCTTTGATTCCAACAGCACTGGATGCACTCAGTAAAGAAAAGGCGTGGCAGACATTTATCATTGATTTGCTATTGCACTGTCACAGCAAGTAAGTGTTGGTTGTGATTGATTATTTTTTTTTAATGACATGTATTATTTTTCAATTCAAAATCAATATAAAACCTAAATGCAGAGCAGCCACTTCTTTCATTTTTTTTTTTTTCCTGCAGTTGTCTTAATCTGTTGGTTAGCAATATAAATCTGTAATTTAGATGCCTACCCTACAATGCCACCAATTCCATCTTCTTTGTACTTCTAAGGGGGGTATTGTCATTATTGATGCCTGATAATGTGCTACTAATGGCTTTAGAACAACTTATTGTAAATAAAATAGTTACTTCATGGGTTTTCAGAAATTATGTGAATATTTGCTACATTAGAATATTTAAGTGACTTGGGTATAGAAGAATTTTCTTATGCTTTTTCTGTTAAGTAAAGACAAGATACAGTTCTAGCAGTTTGGGGAGAGGGGGAAGTTAAAATTTAATCGTCTGGTTTTCTTGCATTGGAGTGGTACACTTGTGACTCACATGTTTTCAGTAGAGCTGTCAAACTGTAGCTGTCACCTGCTGCAGTAGCAGTGTCCTGGAGGAACCCTTGGCGCTGTTGGGGGATGGATGTGTAGAAGCAGCAGGAGGTGCCTAGAGTGGTGTGGTGCGGCTGCCCTGCAGTCCTGCTGTAGAGTTCAGAGATCTCTTGTCATCTCCAAGCTTTTCCTACGGATCTCCTTAGACAGCATCTGTATGATGCTTGTCTTGCAACTTCTAGCCCATCCAAAATTATGATGAGAAGTACAGGGGTATGTATTTTTAGTCCAGGTGAAAAGTTTTTTTGTATGCTTTTATTAAACTTAGCAGTGCTTAGAACCATTAGTCAGGATTAGTCTAGTTTTGTAAGATACCACTGCTGTTGTGCTATGAGTATTTTAACTTTCCTTTGAAAAATGACAGGTCAGAAAGCACCATAGTTTGGGTTTTTAACTTTTCTATGGAAAAAAAAAAAAGGTTCAACAGGCTTATGTTCAGAAATATTCATCATCTCATCTGGCTTTCTCTTTACAATGAACTGTTTGCACACGTTGGTGAAACTATGGTGTGTTATTATCGGAGTCTCACAAGTTGTATTGTTCTGCAACCTGTGGTATAGGCTGTTGAATTTTCAGCTTCACTGAAGCTTGTTATTTTCACTTAAGTTAGAGCTAAGTTTAACAGGATGTGCTGACAAATGTATGTTACAATTTTACACATTAAATGAAACAAGCTGTCTTCTATTATTTTTGGTAACTTTCAAGGCCGATGAGTCAGAAATCACTAAGTTTTATTTTTAAAAGTGTCATCAGTTGATATCAAATTACTATTTTGACAGTTAAATGTATGTTGGCCACATGTCAGAGCTGGAGTACCAATAGACCTAAACAGCATGGGCAAGTGTCTGTGCTGCTCTGTCCATCTGCAGTTGATGTGGGTCTGAAGATTTGTCAGATTTGTGGCTTTTTTATGTTATCTTAATTGTAAAATAAGCATTCACTAGCATTTGTTTATATTTTAGTTAGTGTTTGGTATCCTCACTTGTTACCACTCTTCCAGTCTTTGAAAACTGGAGATGCTTTTTGTGAGGACTTTTCTTTTGTGGTTATATTTCCTTAACATAGTGAATTGTTGGTTCAAGTTGGGAACTTTTAAGTCTTAAACAGTGAAGTCTCTGAATTTACATGTGCAGGTTCCATATAACAGTTTGTGCTGGAGGTAGAATTTCTTTTTAGGAAAAGCTACAGTCTCGATTTACAGATGGGAATATCTGTCATGGGTATGGCAGTGTCTTCTAGTGGTTACTCTTCTTGCTGATATGAGCTTTGTTTACTCCCAGATATTTCATATTGCTTGGCCTAGTGAATAATGGACTGTTGCAGATGTCTTCCTGAAATATTGGAAGAAACTAGATGTGTCCCCAAGCTTGGCCTTCTCTTTCCACAAGTTTTGTTGTCACGTCAGCCTAAGTCTGAACAACAGTGGCTTAATTCCCCTGGTATTTTAGATTTTTGCTCTTTAAAAATGAGTAGCATTAATGGATGCAGTTGGTTTGGGGTTTGTTTGTCAGAGGGAATAAATTTTTTCAGGGCTTCTCTTACCCAAGTGCTGCTCAGTTCCTTATCTCTGCTTTATTTGTCCACAGTATACTGTCAGTAAGAGAAGCTAACCATTGAGCTCTTTTCTCTCATTTGCCTGTAAAACTTGTGATCTGTATGGTAACCTCATTTAGAATGCAGCTGTTTATTATTACATGATAGTTAGAATAGCATAAACATGAGGAGAAATGGAGGACTGTTTTGAAAATTAAGGTGGTGAGGTTGAACTAAGCTAAAAAAATTTTAAGTTCCTTTTCTGAATTAATGTGGAAACAAAATGTTGTTTGCAGTGCAGAGGAAATTTAGCACATACCACAGAATTCTGAATAGCCTTCCATTTTCAGCTATTGTTCTCTAATATCCTGCCCTCAATCAGAGAATAATGTGAGTAAAAAATATGCATGTGAGAAAATGTTTTTGGTGCACCATAAAAGACAAGGAAGATTATCAAATTCAGATCTCACAAATACGATCTTTCTGGAAAAGATCAGATAGTTTGGTTGGCTTTGTTTGTTTCGTTCAGAGGTTTTGTTTGTATGGAACTTTTGCTGTTCCCTCATAGCATAGTCTTGCTACCTATAAACTGAGAAACAAAATGCAAAATGTTTACTACTAAATACTGTAGCAGTTCTTACTCTCCAAGGTAATTGATTTTTGTAGTGGTGACCCCAGAATACAAGACTGGCTTAGTCAACAGATAGCTGAACAGTTAGTCCTAAATGATCCTGGAACCCAGAATTATTCCACTGGTGGCTGCAGAGTGGTGGTGATACATATATGACTCCTAAATAAAAATTCTTACTGCCTGTGTAAAGCAGGAGCACTTACATCTGTTGAAGAGGCTGCCTTCTGTTAACTAAACAGAAATCTGTCTCCTGGAGCTATCAATAGGAGGAGATTCAGGTTGCCTGTCTTGACGGAGGCATTCGGCCTCCAGCTGTTTCACCAGGTGAGTGTGAGTTCATCATGCAACTCTACACTCTTGTCATGGTGTCTAACATGGCACTGTTAGATGCCTGCATTTTAGGTAGCTGCACCTCTCCCATAGTTCCTTAGGAGCTCTTAAATTCAGCCTCACAAAAATACAATACTTGTGTTCCACTACTGCGTACTCTTTAGAGACATCAGTGTGAACTGTCTCCTTGGTCACATTTCTGACTTGAGGAAAATACCATCTTTATCTTTTTCACCCTGCCTTTAAAGTCCATGAACCTGAGGAGTGTCTATGTGATGTGTTCAAGAGTTGTATCTTAAAAGAAATTTCTGTGAGAAGCTTTATGAAAACATCCGCTCAGCAGTCAGATCCCATAAAATGTCAATTATTATTAAGAACAAAACAGACCTCTAACCCATGGTCTTCTGCAACTCAGAGCAATGTAGTAGAACTCGCAAGGGTCAGAGAAGGGTGAGAAGGGAGATCAAAGCTCTGAAATTACTTCCATCTGAGGAACAGCTGAATAGTTTGGGGCGCTTCGTATTGGAGAAGAGATAAATGGTGGGAGGAGAATACCACAGAGACCTTTAAAATCAGAAGTAGCAAAAGGGCAATGAATAGAGGACAGTGTTTCTTTGTGTAAGAATTTCTTCAGCATAACATTTAAGCAGGGTAAACCTTCAGTTTGGAAATAGTTTGAGGGGTTCTTTCATTAATTTCTCTGGTGAGGGCTATGAAATACCACTTTTGGTAGTCTTACTGAACCACAAATGGTTAGAAGCTGAGAGAATATTCAGGAGAACTGCCACTGCATGCTTCCCTCTTCTTGTGCAATTTCCTAGATGTATACCAGAAACAGGATGCTCAGCTAGGTGCATCTTTCTCTGACCTCATAGTTATTCTTGTATGTCTGTGAAGCACAGTTAACCAAACAGAAACAACTTTGAAGGAAGTGGGATTCTTCCATGTGTGTTCCACAGTGACCTCATGGGCCGAAAACAATGACAGCCACTCCAAAAAGACACTCTAAAATTCAGTTTCTTATATGATGAGATACTTTCCTAAAGCAGAGCGTTCATTTCTATTCCCTTTACACCTAAGCAGAGTAGTTTCTGACAGTTTTTACAAGATACAATACTCATGACAATTAATCTTACAACTTGAAAGAGTAGGGTTTGCCTAAAATATTTTTTTTTCTTTCCTTAAACTTGTCCTTTCCCACATTTTTCCAGTGGTTAGATTAAGTTCTTAGACGGAAAATCTCCTTTAATTCTAGCCACTTGAATTTTCAGAGTCTCATCTTTTCTTGTTTCTTAATAATGATAAATTTTGATCACTTCATAGGTGCTCAGCAAACTGCTGTAGTGGTACAGTTTTACCAGGGCAGTTCTCTTTTGTCTTTCAGGCACAACTAGTGTTTGATTAGGAAAAAAAAAAAATGGCTTGGGGTGGCAGATTGCTTGTTGTTAGGCAATAGTTGCTGGCAGTTGTGAAGGTTTAGTGGTCAGGTGCTGGTAAGTTTCTTTTTCACTTACCTTTAATAAATTGTGAGACAGGTTTTTTAATAGTAATTGATGTGTCTAAAATTTCACTGCAAGGAGAAACAATATGATGGATAATGAATAATTAAAGTATTCCCATTTCTTACGTTACATGCAATTTTAGAAAATGGCATTAAGCAGATAAGCACAAATTTAATTGGTGCGGGTTTTTTTAAATGTTCTGTTTGGGTAGGGAGATTGAATTTAATGTTTCTATTAAATGATTTCCAGAACTGTTCGTCAAATGGCACAGGAGCAATTCTTTTTAATGGCCACCAGGTGCTGCATGGGACAGAGACCTCTCCTTTTCTTCATTACCCTGCTGTTTACTGTTCTAGGGGTAAGTTTTTAAGAGGTAAAGGCTTCAGTACAGTGTAAATTTCTGTAAGAAGTAATAAGATAAATGGCTATGAACAACAGTCACTGAAATCCAGATTCCTTTTGACTTATAGGCAGGCAGCACAGTCGATTGCCATGTGAGGTAGCCAAGGGGTAAGGGAACTTTTGCATTTCCCGATGAGAACATGAACAATAAGCTTTAGTATATGCATTTGACCTTTAGTGAATGCTAACCTTCAAGTAAAAATCATTAGCAGATTAGATAAATACCTACGGTTACAGCCTGTTTTTACTGGGCCTACTGGGGAGGGCTTTTCAGTTCTGCATGATCATGGTTCTCTTGAACATTTGATCACTTCACTGTTTGTTTGCCATTCAGGTACAGAAACTGCTACTAAAATAGGTCAGAAGTCATTAATGACCAGCTAAATACAGCTAAATTGTAAACTTCTAAAACATTAAAAAATAACCTTACACTTCTTTCATATTCACTGCCAGTTTTAGGGAAAACATATTAGTGTTGCACTATAAGTAGAAGTATGTATGAATTGATACCATTTTTTGTTGTTGTTCACACAGAGTACTGCAAGAGAGAGAGCTAAGCATTCTGGAGACTACTTCACTCTCTTAAGACATCTTCTTAACTATGCTTACAACAGTAATATTAATGTACCCAATGCTGAAGTTCTTCTCAATAATGAAATTGACTGGCTTAAGAGGATTAGGGTAAGTTTTAGGATCAGTTAATTATCAATAATCAGCTTTTTGCTGCATTGTAAAGTACAGTTTTAAGCTTGGTAGATGTGTATTTTTCAAAATATCCTATCTTTGTCTTAAATGGCAGGATGAAGTAAAAAGAACAGGGGAAACAGGTGTTGAAGAAACTATCTTAGAGGGTCATCTTGGAGTAACAAAAGAGTTGTTAGCATTCCAGACACCCGAGAAGAAATACCATATTGGTTGTGAAAAAGGAGGTGCTAATCTCATTAAAGTAAGTTCAAGTTTTTTGACCATGGAACTTTCTTATACTTTTTGGGTTTTTACTGTGCATAGGTAAAAAGAAACTTTGCATCTTGTGGTCTGTAACCGTAAAAGATCCCAGTTTAACTCTTTGACATCTGAGTGTCTTTTTAATCAGACATGTTTTCTTTGTACCTCTGATAT